TCACAGACAATGGCAGTAACACTCAAGCTTATTTTTATTAGTACTGAACATTAAAAAAGGCAGTGGTAACTATTTCTAGTTAGCTTTAAGATCCCCTGATGAAAAATCCCCTGATGAAACCAATTAAAGGAGTCTATGTAAAGGGCATTGGGAACTTTACTCCCTCCCCAGTTCCCTTGTACTAGCTTTGTACTTAGGAAGGTTACTCAGTGCCAAAAAAAAAAAGCACTATGAAAAGGAGGGAGGGGTTCAGAGTTAGTTGCCTGACTGGCTTGTCGCTGATAAAAGAATAGTTTGTCTTGGTATTGAGGGAAGTTAAGGGAATTTTCACACTGAGCTGCTTTTCTCACTCTCAGGACATCGAAATGCAATAAGTAAATGAATACATCTCCATGACTGTTTTTGCTGAGACAAAGTTTCCCCTGAAGTACTCAGTAAATTCAAGCCTATCTGCCATCATGAAAGACACTGGTCTCATGCCTTTATAATGGCCAAATCCACACAAAGAGCAAAACACTCCAAGTACAACATTAAGTGGCTAAACAGGGCAATTAATTTCACAAAGTGTGATGCAGACAGTGAGTTTTACAGACAGTGTACTCCAGTGAGGCAATGTCTGCTTAAATCAACAGTTATGGTTTTTGAAATACAGCAGGTTTTAGCTGTAACAGAAATAAAAATTCCCCTAATTTGGTTTTAAAACTTTTCTAAAAATAGCCTGGCAGTGGTCAATCTACTGTTGAAGAAGGAAGAAATTATGAGTTTTGGAGAGTTGCCCTAGTTTTTAGTTTTCACAGACAGACAGACAGACAGACAGACACACACACACAGAGAGAGAGAGAGAGAGAGAGAGAGAGACTTATGTTATACACTGTGTCATATAGCTTGACAAATTGATCTGTCAATAGGTTGTTTATTATGAGATTTAACCTTCCTGGGAGAAGAATGGCCTAGAGTCTCTAGTGCTATTAGACCACAACTCCCCTCATCCCCAGCTATTTGCCATGCTGGGAGATAGGGTGCAAAACATCTGGAATGTACCAGGCATTGGCTTATATTACTTTTCTTCCACAAAGGTATTTCGAGAGTAAAAATCAGAATAAAAATCTTTGAATGCTCTGATTTGTTACAGATATTTTATTACACAAGTCTACTCTCTATCAGATCTAAATCATTCTCTTACTATAGCAATATCTGTCTTCTCTGTTCTACAAACTTTGTTTTTATATGCTATCAATTAGTTCCTGACCATGATTTAATGACCTCAAAAAGATTCTGTCATTAGCAACTAAAGGCCTATACTTCTTTTGTGGTGTCAATCTGCTTCATGTAAAGTCTTTCAGTTTTCCCCAGAATTATTTTTTTCATGAATGAGTCCTGTCTTTTCCTGATGTGTCCAAAGTACAAGTCAAAGTATATATCCAACGTCATTTTAGCTTCTAGTGAGACTTCAGGCTTGATTTAATTTAAAATCTACTCATTTTTTTTCTGGTGGTCCATAGTACCTCTAAAACTCTCCTCCAGCACTACTTTCTAAATGAGTCAATTTCCCCCCCGTCAGCTTTCTTCACTGTCCAGTTTCATGTCTGTACACAGTAATCAGGAATATGATCATGAAAGACGGTGACATGCCTTTATAATGATCAAATCCACACAAACAGAAAAGCACTCAAAACGCAACATTAAGTGGCTAAACAGGGAAATTCATTTCACAAAAGGAGAGTGTGATGCAGACAGTGAATTTTACAGTGTACCCCAGTGAGACAATGTATGCTTAGATCAACTGTTATGGCTGAGTTTCATGTCTGTACACAGTAATCAGGAACTTGATGGTATGGATGACCTTGGTCTTTTTTTTATTTTTTTATTTTTTATTTTATGTATTTATTGTCATTGCAAGTATATACACTGTACTGTATACCCATACAATGAAATTCACAGACATCCAGAGATGTTTTCTTGTTTTCCAATAAAATGGTCTTGTTTTCCAATCAAATATCTTTACACTTCAGGATCTTTTTATAGCATCCTCATTGCAAATACCTTTTTTTAAAATCCTAACAATTATTTTAATAAGATGTAGTGGAAGTTGTATCTATTGGCCAGTAGGGGTCATTGAAATGTTTATAAAGATAAAGGCATAATTAAAAAAAAACACATGCAAAAAACAGAGACCCCTCCTGACAAAGCAGAGGAACCAACAAGAACATCTTTACAGAATGTTTTCCCAGAGCATGTTTGTTCAAAATAAATATATATATAAAATTTATAAATATATAAAAGTGCAATCTTAACAGCGCTAAATTTAGGAAGATTTAAAAAACAAGGTTACTGAGACAGAAAGGGACAAGCATTCTGTCTTTGAAAAATCACACCCATCTTTTTTCTTAAGATGCCATTAAAAGACAATATTTAAAATCTAAAAACAGTAAGTATGCAAATATTTTAAAAGAATCAAATGAATACAGTCCTAAATATGTTGAACAAAATCAAAACCAAAACAGATTCAAAGCAACAAGACTTAAAAATCCTTTCAGATATAGCCAATCACTGTCTGAAGAGAAATAGTTTCGTCTGCTTGTGGAAGGATTACAGATATGAGTTATTTTGAATCATTTTGCCATCTGTGCCCACTTGTATCAGAGTGAATAGTGTCTGTGTGGTTTGTCAAGTATTGGATGCAAGGATAAATGGGTTTCAGGCCTCAGGGTAACCTTGCAATCTTATCTGTTGTATATTTTTTTTCTATCTCTGAGACTGATCTGATGTTATTCCATTTATAAAATAAAAACAAATAAAACAAATATTAAAACATGATGAGGGACCTGGAAAACTCACTGCCGGCTCTTCTTCTCTTCCCTCTGGGATGTACAGTGGCTGGGACAGCTGGCTTCCAGCTGAGGAAAGTGGGAGAAGAATGGAGGGTGTGGCTGTAGCTGTGTCTTGATCAAGACAAAATCTACGTTTCTAAAGTGAGAAAGAAAGGTAGAAGGAGGTGGCGGCAGGGGCAGTATTGCCTCTGCTGGTGCTTCCCCCTCCTGTCAGCACCAGGCAGCCAAACTACAGTATTTCTTATCCAGCATCTGTCAAGGTGTTGGTTTTGCCCTCTTTAGCAGCAAGCAAGCTGGCATGCACATCTGAATGGTTTCTTGCAAGTTCCCTCTCCGGGTGTGAATATAATCAGCTTCTGTACCCCGGCTTTGTTTCTGAAATTGGGACAGAGGGGAAGCAGCCGAATGACTCTCTTCTTCTTCTCTCTCTCTATTTTAAATTAAAGACAAGAGACACAGAAAAATTATAAGCTGGATCCCTGCAGTGCCAATTCACTTATACTGTAAATGCAATGATTTTAAAAGCTTATGTAGCCCCCTTGACCAATATACAGTGCTACTTACTGCCTGGTTAAAAATTGCCCCAGGAGGATACCCACACTGACCACCAAACCACAGGACTTTAAACTGATTTCAAAACCCCCAATCCACCTCTTGATTCATTTCAACAGTGTAACTGAGCCCTGATTGGAACATGCTTGTAAGATGCAAGTGGATTAAATGAGGTAGCCTTTCCATAAGTAAAGCTGGAGATTGATTTTAAATGATCTCCATGAGTGCTTCCAAATGGAGGAATCCAAGTGTTATCAAAGACATTGTATAATTATTCCGACTTTCCTTCCTTAACTTAGTTCTTCACTAATCAGAAAAAAAGGAGTGGAAAAACATCAGAGGGTTGCAAGTGGGAGCTTTTGTTATCTGCGTCCCACCCCATAAAGTTCTGTGGATTAGATGATTACACAATAAAAAGTTGGTGTTGCTGCTACGTGTCACCAAATTGCCTTCAAAGATAGTTCAGTCTTGATTTGCATTAGGGCTCACTTGTTCATTTTTCTGGCAGTCCAGGGTATCTCTGATCTCTAACAGAAGCCAGACAGTGTAATATTATTATTAGTTGCCTGCACGCACATATGTATACTGCTGTTCATCCTCTGATCCCAAAATAGCATGCATGGCTCTCTTTGCACTACAGTACTTTGTCCTTGTAGCAATCCTGTGAAGTAGGTTAAGTTGTGAAAGTGTGACTGACAATGTCACTCAGTGAGCACCATGTCATGGCTAAGTGGATAATTGAATCCAGGCACCCCAAAGTCCTAGTTAAATGCTCTAATCGTTACACTCCACTGGCTCATAAGTTTTCCCTCAACGGTACTATCACTGGGTAGGAGAAACTCACATTTCTCTTCCTGACTATATTCACCTGTCACAACATGGAAGCATTGTGTTGAAGTGTGGCCCATCTGAAATGGGCCTAAGTGCTGACTTCCACATCCTGATCTGTCTCACTTGTAGCAGGAAGAGCGACAAAACAAATTGGTCCATGGTATATGTATTGTGAAGTATCAAGCTAGCAGAAGCTACGTATCTGTCTGGCTTGCTTCTCCTCTGGAAAGCCAGGGGATTATTATATGATTATAATAAACCATCCAGACAATTAATTGACTTTGTGCTTGTTTAGCTACCCCTATTGTAAATAAGCAGTGGGAATGGTTAACTGAATAACCAAGCAGCAGGATCTTGGCTTATTGTGATATCCAGATTTGTCCTGTGTGTTCGGCTGCTTTTCCTTCTCAAAACTGGAGGATAGGTGACATTTGCATCTGAAATGTCAAGGCAGAGAGTTGAGAATGCTACATTGCTTTTTTGTACAGCATATGCTTTGCAAGCACAATAGTGTAATTTTTGTGCCCAGAATATGCTTTGAATGTGTGACCTACGTTCCATGCCTGACATCTTTTGAGGAAGTAATGCAACAGAGTCATTGTCCATGGCTTTGGAAAGCCATTTGTCTTATACAGAGCAGAGCAAGAGTGATCATAGTCAGAAACAATGCAAGTCATTTCATATTCTTAGAGGCAGTCTGAATAACAAGACTGTAGTCTTCTGGTAAATGTTTCCTCCTTCCTTTATTTTTAGGAAGTACAGCATAAGCAAATTACATGTTCAAAGAAGCTGCTAACAGCACTTTGTAGTTCCTTTATGCTTCAACCATGAATCATCATTATAAAGTGACATGTATACTAGCTCAGTACAAACAGACCATGGAGACTATCATGAGGACTAATATGCTCACTTTCCTTATTCTGGGTGAGTAAGATATGTCTTGAGTAACAAATTAAAGATATATGAGGGATAATAATAGTTCAGTGTAGTGTATGTATTGCATCTGGCAGACCTGGGGCTCAATTTTTGGTATCTCTGATTTAAAAAAAACTGCCAGCTAACGGGAAAGACATCTGCATCACAACCTGGAAAGTATCTGCTATTCAGAGTAGAATTATATGGGTAGATTGACAAATTATCTGATCCAGTTTAAGATAATTTCCCATCTACCATGGAGTGAGCAACACATGGGAAAGTGCCCCAATCCAAGAGGGTACTATAAGGAGTAATGATGGCAGCACCAAATGATAGACAGTGGTGTACTGTAGTTTAGTGTTTAGCACTCTGCTGGTGAAGATTTGAAGTGGAATAATGCTTCTATGTTTTGAATATGTATGTTCCTACTAGCACTTACCCTGGCATTGAAAATGAATACAATGTTTTATCCACTCTGTGCTTTGAGATGGACAAGACAGGTGCATCATTCTGATATCCAAAAATACCCATACCTTCAGGTACCCTTGCCAGATTCCCAAGGAGTCATAATAGGGGCAGTGCATGAATTATTCAGACAAATCTGGCATGTAGGAACCATCAATGCCCTCTGTCTGGAATATTTCCTTTAATTTCCTATGTATATATGAAACTTGTGTGATTTACCTTAATGTAGTATATAAAACCTTTTAGGTCATATTAGATTTTCCTCACTGACAAACTGCTCAAAAGATCATGTTGAAACTTAAGCACACCTTCTTTTTAAAGAAGTGGCAGACTCATAATTTTGTAATTAAGATTACAAATATTATGAATAATAATTAAGAAGTAAAAGAAGACAATAGAAGCTCTGTACCTATGCCAGGGACAATCAGATGATCAAGAGTCCTGCAATATCCTCTATATTACAGAAAATGTTTTCAGAAAAAAAAAAGTGGGTCTCTCTGGCATTTTAAAAATTGTGCTTGGTTTTTTTTAAAAGAAGCACCTGCTACTTACGGCACCCTTTTGCTTGACTTGCATGTGCTGTCTCAGCAATATATATTTAAAAAAAATAATAATAAAAGGATTGGTCTCACAGAAAACAGCTCAGTTTAACATCACTTTATATTCTTATTTATCCTAGGTATAATTAAATCTTGCCTCCCAGCTTCGCCTACTTCTTCCACAGATCGTAGAGGATCAGGTAGGAATTGTTTCTCATTCTCTTTTAGTGGATGTCTATTTTCCATTGTGCTGTCAGTGTTCCACATTTGTCCATTTGAATTATTCAAAAGAAAGGTGTGTGGAAAGAAAATCAGTTGCATCTGTCCTGCATAGAGCAACCTTCAATTCAGTGAGACCCATGTTCCAGTCTTAATGAGGCAGTCCTTTGAAAGTAATAGGACCTTTCCTTGTAGGAATATGTAGGTCTGTAGCCCTGGACTGCAAGCCTATGCAGTGGCATAGTGTGGGTGGCCAGCACCCGGGGCAGGGCAAATATTGTGGGGCACGAGGCATGTACCAGCTCTGTGAGGCAATGTGGGGCAGGGGGCAGGAGAAGCCCCCAGGATGCTGCCATGAAGCAGTTGCGGAGCTGCTGGAGGTCCACTGTGGTGGCAGTGGTGGGCCTGGCACTCCAGCAGCTCGGACGTGGCCTGCTAGGAGGGGAAAGAGGAGTGCAAGGAGAGGCTGTGGGATCACGCCGGATAGGCTGGCCCGCATGAACCTAAGAATTTTTTTAGCCTCTGCACAGTACAACAGTACTTTGCACCCCCTTAAAATTTTGACCCCAAGGGAAATGCCCCTGTGCGCCCCCCCAAGCTACACCATTGAGCCTATGCACAATTACATGTGTCTGTGTATGTTAGTGTTTGGGGCATGCGCAAAACCTATTAAATGGTTTTTTAAATTAAGATTACAAATATTATGAATAATAATTAAGAAATAAAGGAAGGCAATGGAAAATCTGTGCTGTGCCAGGACAATCAGATTATTTAAAGAGTCTCACAATATCCTCTGTATTGGAGGAAATCTTTTTCAGCAAAAGAGAAAGTAAGTCTCTCTGGCATTTTAAAAATTGTGCACTGTCTTTGTAAAGAAGATCCTGCTACCCTTTTGCTTGACTCCCAATAATCTCTTTAATAAAATAATAAAGGAAATTATATCACAGAAAATATTTCCATTTAACATCATTTTATGTTCTTATTTGTTCTAGGTGTACGTATATATTGCCTCCCAACCGTGTCTCCTTCTGCAGGTAGAATTATTTCCCATTCTCTTTTAGTGGATGTCTATTTTTCACTGTGCTGTCACCCTTCCACATTTGTCCGTTTAATTTATTAAAAAGAAAGGTGTATGGAAGGAAAACTAGTTGCATCTGCCCTGCATAGAGCAAACGTCAACTCAATGAGACTAACATTTAAGTCTTAATGATGTTTACTCGGAAGCAGCTCTTTGAGTTTGATAGGACATTTCCTTGTAGGAATATGTAGGTCTGTAGCTCTGGGCTGGAAACCTGTGTGCATTTCAGAGGCAGTGGTGTTAGGGGCAGGAGCAAAACCTAAGATTTACTTTCCAGTAAATAAGCATAGGATTATGCCAAAACAATTCAAATGGGGTGGTGGTGGTGGTTTCAAAGGAAGGATGCTTTTGTCCCAAAACAATTCAAATGGGGTGGTGGTGGTTTCAAAGGATGGATGCTTTTGTGCCACACAGCCCTAATTTATTAATGCACTCAGGTGCACTGGCTGACATCCTCTTGTACAACTACATGGTAGTAATGGTAATAATGTCATCAGTTCACAAGCTACAACTGGATTGGATTTGAAGCTTCAAAGCTACAATTGGATTGGATTTGAAGCTTCACAGCCCCCATCTCAGAGGCTCCCTAGGGATCCTTTTAGACCTGGGGAGGTCTTTGGGAGCCTTGGTATGGTGGGAAAACCTTTTTGCTAGCAGACTGCCACTGCTGAGATCAGGACATCCATGATGATCTGGCAGCGACATGTGGATATTTAATGCACACACACCCCAATCGGGACCCAAGGCTCCTACAGACTTCCACAGCTCAAAAGGAAGTCTCAGAACCTGGGTAGGCGGGAGTGTGAACCTTTAAATTAGATTTAATCTAAGCGTAGCATTAACAGGCTAATTACATCATCACTATTTATGCCTACATAGTTAAGCAAACAGATTCCAGCCGTTGTGTTGTAGTGGTATGTGCTATTTATGCAACTTTTGCCAACATACCACGATGCAAGTTTGCTTTCCACCAGGAAAAAATTCTGTAGATATTCTGGAATTAAAATACTTTATAATGCTTTAATAACTACAAACAAACAAACAAAACCCTACAAACCAATAGAATGAAAATCAAGCTCTGGTTTCATTAGGACTCAAATGCTCAGTTAAGCTGCCAGGTTTTAACTTGGTGTTGAAATTAGGGGAATGCTAGTCAAGCCTCCCAGGGAAGCACAGCCAGAGGGCTAGAGCTGACAAAGACCTCCTCCCTGTCTCCACACGGGAGAACTGCTGGCAATTGTGGAACCCACAGAATGTCCCCTGGTGGGTCTTAATGATCAGGGAGAAATGTATAAGCAGAGGCTCTTGTTCTGAGTCCCAAGCTTTCCTTGGGATTTAGACACAAGCTGTTTAGGGCTTTGAAAGTCATCATCAACACTTTGAACTTGAAATGGAAGCACATTGGCATCCAGTGTCATATGGGTCATGCAGTTTTTTTCCTACCAGCTGTCTGTTGTTGTTTCTGTATGCTCTAAATTCACTTTCAAATTAGGGTGATCCTAATAGGGTTTCTGAGGTATGTGAGATATTCAAGGAGTGCAGTAGTTTATCATTGCTACCCCTCCACGAGTTTCTATGGCCTAACGATATTTGAACCCAGCCCTCCTGAGTCCTAATCTGAATCACTGTACCACACTAGGTCTTGACAGTAGCCTAGCTGGTCCATGTTGCACTAGCTATGGCCTTACTTGCTTCCTTAAGAGGAATCCTAGAATCCTAGAATAATGGAGTCAGGAGGGGTCTATAAAGCTATCAGGTCCTACTCCCTGGTCTATGCAGGAATCCAAAGCCAAATGTATCTGACACATGGTTGTCTAATTTTCTTTTGAATGCCTCCAGCCTTGGAGACCTCACCACCCACCCAAGATAATTGGTTCAGTTGTTGAACTGTTCTTACAGTTTGGATCCCCCCCTTCAACTGAAATCTGGCTTCCTGTAACTTGAGCCCATTATTATATGTATTGCACTCTGGGATGATCAAGAACAAATCCTGCTCCTCCTCTATATGACGATCTTTCAATTACTTGAGGAGTGCTATCATATCTCACAATAGTTTTCCTTTTTCAGGGCTAAACATGCCCAGTTTCATCAATCTCTCCTGATAGGGCTTGGTTTCTAGTCCCCTGATCATCCTTGTTATGCTCTTCTGAACTTGTTCCAGTTTGTCAGCATGCTTCTTATAATACAGTGTCCAGAACTGGACACAATATAGTGGTGCCCCGCATAGCAACAATAATCCGTTCCAGAAAAATTGTCGCTATATGATTCGTCGCTATGCAGGGGAAAAAGCCCATAGGAATGCATTAAAACCCGTTTAATGCACTCCTATGGGCAAAAAACTCACCATTATGTGAAAATCCTCCATACGGCCACCATTTTCGCTACCCGGTAAGCAAGGAATGGGCACGAAAACACAGCGGGCGGCCATTTTTTTACCCGGCAGCCATTTTGGAATCACCGATCAGCTGTTCTAAAAACATCGCTATGCGAAAACCGGTAAGCGAAACAGCTTACCAATCATTGCAAAGCGATGTTTTACCATTAAAAACATCGCAATGCGATCGCTTTTGTGATCGCAAAAACGTAATCGCTATGCGGATTCGTCGTTCAACGAGGCGCCCATTAAGTGAGGCACCACTGTATTCAAGATGACGCCTAGCCAGTGCCAAACAGAGAGGAACTAGTACTTCACAGGATTTGGAGGCTGTATTTCTGTTAATGCAGCTAAAATAGTATTTGCCTTTTTTGCAGCTGCATCTGTAGGCAGCATTGCAGATACAGTAAAATGAAAGGTATTGGTAGTATGTAGTCAGATTGTCCCTGCCAAAAAATGACAATAACTTCCAGGCCAAGCAATGCTGGCCCCAAATACTTTGAACCAGCAAGTCAATCTGAGCCTCCGGTGACAGAGATGGATCATGAAGTACCTTCAGATATACCCTGTTCCTTTGGTGGAGGACAACCCACCTGGAACAGATTGCCTAACCAATTGTTATATGTTTGAACCCCTGGACCTCTGAGTCTCCATCCTGTCAGGGTCCACTTTCAATTAACTATCCTACCCCATTACAGCCTCTAAACATTAATCCAACACCACCAGAAGACAACAAGAATCCAAAAACTGGTTCTAGATTCTGCTGCAAATTCATATGTCAGCTCTGCCCTCATGTCCATTCGGAAAACACCATTTGAAGACCTGTGACTACCATTCACAACATCAGGGGTTCAATTTACTTGTTCATTTTCCAGTGTGATCTACTATCTTATGTCAGCAGTGTCTTTCTCCAGTCTGCATAGGGCAAACTGATCCATCTCTTTGCAAAAGAATAAATGAATACTATCTAACATCAGAAATGTACAGTATTTTTAAAAAACAAGTAGAAGAACACGGTAATCTCCCAAGACACGCTGTCTCTGATTGTAAAGTAGCTGTTGTGGAGCAAAGAAACTTCAGTGGGAGATTAGAAAGACTGTTGAAGAACACTCAGTAAAGTCTTTGTTTCTTGACTTAGGCTGTGCTCAAACCCTGCAAGATTCCTCACCTCTAGAGGTCTCTTCTTTACCTCAGGGTCTCCACAATATGCACAAATGTTTCAGTGCAAAATTCATATCCTTTCCCTGTGAGATGCAATATGCAGATATAGATGAATTGATTGATTAATGAGACAGAGATAATCCAGCCAGTACCTTGCATTCTTAAAAGCCTATGAAAGAAAACAGCAAATACTGTGGAATTCTTTTTAGAGTGGCATTGCACTCAACTGTTATACGTTCGCTTAAAATCCCTCTTACCTCTTTGTGAGACACCACAGCTATGTCTTATATCTTGAATTTCCATGTATGTGGCCGTGTGTTTTGTGTGTTGTTCATATACTCCTATTATTGTAATAAAACTATATTAAAATCTTTTTTTAAAAAAAATCAGTGGCACACACTGATGTGTGGAATGACTCAAGTCATCCATGATTCTGAATGATATAAATGTATCAAGCTGTGTCCCCTTCAACTGCTGCTCATGGGGGTGGGGGGAAAGGAATCACTGCCCCTGTATCCCACGTCATTAGTCTCTGTCTGTTGTCACTGTTTCTCAAAAGTTATGATTCATTCAGGAGGAATAAAGCCAAGAGTTAAAAACAAAACAAAAACAGGTGGTTTGAAATGTTGCACTGTTACTTCATTTCTGTTCATTTTCTAAAAAGCCATTGTAGTGTTTAGTATTAATGTGAACCCAAATAAAAGAACACATGTTGTTCAAGTATATTTTTGGGTCACCTATTTCTTTCTAACCCCTCACTTCCTTTACTAAATGGTTTTGGATGAAGATCTTCACAGCAGTACTGTTGTTTAACTTTTCTTGGACTCAATTCTTGTCATGGAAATATTTTTCTAATTTTTTTCTAGGTTTTTCCGACAGTCATCCAAACAGTAATGATAATGGCATCATTAATGGTGTCGGTAATACTGGTATAGACTGTGGACATAATGCTATGCGTTACAATGCATCCACCTGTGTCTGTAAACCAGGATATAAGTTAGAATCAGTGGATGTGACCTCAAGAGGCACTCAATGCAATTGTCAGAGTAAGTGTTTTCATTCTCCACTCATTTAAACTTCCTCTTTTGAACTAAATTGTAAACAGTGAAAATGTGATTTTTCAGCCATTCCTAATATTGTGATTAATGCTGACATTCCATGCCTGCTATGATATGTAATGTGTGAAAAACTGCTTGGTTTTTAGCCATAATCTGCCAAGTCGGTTTTGACTTGGCAACTATTTCCAGGTTTTTCTAGATACAGAATACTCAGAAGTCATTTGCTTTTTCTGGAGGGTGGACTGTGCAGCTTTACCCAGGGCCACACCAACTGACTCTTTTCCTGCAAGTCTCAGCTGAGAATCAGAGTCCTGACTCCTGAAAGTGGTTTGCCATTCCCTTTTTCTGGAGGGTGGACTGTGTAGCTTTACCCAGGGCCACAGCAACTGACTCTTTTCCTACAAGTCTCAGATGAGAATCAGAGTCCTGACTCCTGGCCATTAGCTCTGGAGCCAAGTACAGTACTCAAATCACTGAGCTATCCAGCCAGAGCAGTAGGATTTACTTCTCAGTAAACCAGCATAGGATTGTGCTACATAACCTCACTCCCCCAGCTTTGAGCTAATAAAGTGATAATGCCCATGATATGGTAAAACCAAAGACCTGTAAGGACAAAGCAACAACACTTATTGATTGTCAGTGTTATCTCCCTGTTCGACTGTATTTGTAGTCCTTACAATAAATTGATTTTCCCAGTAACGTTATGTTACTATGCATTATCCCTGTTGATCTTGAATGGCAAATTACATTTGCAAAGCATCTTCTCTTGTTGAGAATAAAAACTGGTAGAACTGGCACTATAATTTACCATTACATTTTTCTTCACAGATATTTCCCACTCCTGCCCAGAAGAATCAGTAAGTGTGGTGTGCAATGTGTGAAATTAGTGGATTTTTTTAAATCAAGGCGAATATAATGCTGAAGCTTTGAATCAAAGTCTAGGGCATAGAAAAGAGCCGAATAAGGCACAGAAAAGAGCTGATACTGTGTTTCCCTGAAAATAAGACAGAGTCTTATATTAATTTTTGCTCCAAAAAACACATTATGGCTTATTTTCAGGGGATTTTTTTCCCCATATACAACAACCCAAAAAACACATTATGGCTTATTTTCAGGGAATTTTTTCCCCATATACAACAACCTAGATTTATTCAAATACAGTCGTGTCATCTTCTGGTTGCTGCACAATGGTGGAGGGTGGGGTTTCACTTAACTGGGGATTATTTTGAGAGTAGGGCTTATATTACAAGCACGCTGAAACATTATATTAGGGCTTATTTTCAGTTTAGGTCTTATTTTCAGGAAAACAGGGTATGATACCTGCAACTGGGCTAACTGATAACTTAGAAACACAGCAATCATCTGAGACCATCAGCAATGCTATTAGATCAAGATTTTCCATCCTCTTGAATTCATCTAGGTCTAGGACACCCATTCTTTTCAGTCCCCTGACTACAGCAATTATGTCTTCTTCCGCTTTTCTTTGTGCTAGGCACGCTTAATATAAGACCCATGCACCAGGCCTCAGAAAGAATGCTGAGTTGTGCATCAACATTGATATGCCGAAACCCCTGGTGGTCGCTAACACTGATTACTACTACACATTCCTCTCACAAAGCAATGGGACCGGGACTCTTTCTTTTTGAACACAATTCATATATTTTAAATGGCAACAGGCAATTCTTTCCACTCATCTCAAAACCCTCAAATGACAATGAAATGATCTGACTACAGTATTGCTTTCTCTGTTTCTCCTATCATACCAATTTTGAGGAAAAATAGAAACCAAGGGAAAGGGAGGCAAGAGAATTGCTTCACTCAGGCTCCTCTCTGGGTCAGACTAGGTGTTAAGGGAAATGCATATCACCTGCATTTAAAATGTCCCCCCTCCAGCAACAAGGTTTCTTTAGGATACCTGCCTCAGCAGCCAGGCTTGAAAAGTAACCTCACATTTATCTTGCAATGACCTATAGAATAATGGAGTACTGTACGTCTTAATTGCAAGATTTGTAGAGGTGAAAAAGCATAACAAGCAAGCATCTTTCATGACTCACTGTCAAGTCATAGGGAATGCAAAATTTCCCTCATGTCTCCTTTTATTCTTAGTCTAACACTTTAGCAACTGCATCACCAGTTTACTAGCTCATCCATGTGACATATCAGATTTCCGAGTCACCCATATGGTGCAACTATTCTTTTTACTCTTATCAGCTGATATTTCTTAATAACACAAAATTCCTTTCATCTGTTCATTTAGGATATTCGTATTCACAACAGTTCCTGGTGCTTGGCTGTGAAAACCGCCTTGAAACATAGCTGTGAAATGAACAGTTCAACAACAAGTTGTTTAGAGGTGGGGACTTCCTGAGAATTTCAAAGGTTTGACCACAGCTTCTCTTTCCGGACCAGCCACTGTGGTTTCCTAATACCATGCTGTGAAGGGTTTTTTAATTTTTATTTTGAGGTGATGCAGGGGTTGAAATGAAATGAGGGCAGTGATTTTAAGAAGCCATTTACCTATATGAGGTTTCTGAAGCTATTCTGATTTCAGAGAGAAGTGGGTTATAATGAGTTGTGTTATTTGTTCTTTCTGCCTCAGTATTGTTCAGTTTAATTGGCCAAACCTGTCCAGGGTTTCAGGCAGAGAATTTTGCCATGCCTGATCCTTTAATTGGAAAGGGAGCAGAATGACCCAAGTACTGTTCCCAGAGTAGATGTTCTACCACAGAGCTGTTTCGTTTAGTGTTTACATGCTATAAGGACCTAAGTTGAATAAAACACAATGAGGATAGACAGGCAGGGCAGAGGTAGGAAATGTAACCTTCTTTGGACTACAGTTCTCAGAATACTCTTGTCAATACTCAGTACTTGAGTACTTCGGAGGTTATAGTCTGGGAGGTTATTTGGTGCACTCCACACACACCCAGTCATGTTTCTCATCTCTGCCAGTAAGTGTATCTTCTTTATGAAAATTAGATAGAATAGTTTTTAAGATGGCTCTGGTGTGATACTTACCAGTACAGGAGTGGAAGGGAAATGCTGCATTTTTCAAAAACCATAAGGAGACTTTATGTATAGATAGTGGGATGAGGAAATGTGCTGAAATGTCTGTAGGTTATTAAAGAAATATTTTAGCATGTTTTATTATTAGCCTTTTCTTTGCCTTATACTGTATATATTTCTGTTCCTTCTGTTAAGTGTAATCACAATCAGAATTAAGTATATGAGAACACAGAAAGGAAATCAAAGACCAAGTAAAACAGAACTAATAAGAAGAATCTGGGAAGAACTAGATTTGCTGGAGTTTATTGAATGATTTGGAAAACTGCTCGATTTTTTTTTCACAATTTCAAACCAGCCATGCAGTATTCAGGGAAAATAAAATGCTATGAATTGTGTAAAAGAATTCTGATAGAAATGTAAGCAATAAGAAATTATTTATAGTTTTTCTAAGTGGAATTGGAAGTAGATTTCATGACTGTACCTTTTTGTTGGTAGCCTTTTTCGATTGAAATCTAGGCATGTATTTTTCGGAGTTCTGAGGTAAACTATTCATAGCTGTACATACAGAAAGAGGAACATACAACACAGTAATACAGACCAACTTACAGTCTACTTTCTATTTTGTACATACGCTGTGGATTCCATAATTAATGCCTTTACACTTAACAAAAAATCAAGTGAGATCTTCAATTGTTTTTTGCTTTCTTTGCTTGTTGCAGAATACAACAATTGTTTTCAAGAATTTCGTGCAGAATATCACAGCAAAAGAAGACCTTGTATCCAGTGTGACCTTTTTTCTGAAAGAAATCGGCTCCTCTGCAGGAACAAAGGCTCTTGACTTTCCAGAGAAACAGCCTGAGACTGCAATTTCTCCCTTACTAGGTAAAGGAAATATAGGCCTTCAGTCTATCATTTGAGACAGGCAGATCGGCAGACAGAGAGGAAAAAGGTGCCTAGTATATTTCAATTACTTTCCTGCTTTTGTCATACCTATATCTCTTGTGATGGATTTGCATGTGACATATTACACTTCAACAAAAATCTATGTCTGTAAATCTATGGCCTGTAAATTAGATGCAGGTAGTCAGGTGCTGTGGGCTAAACTGCAGAAGCCTGTGCTGCAGGGTCAGAAGACCAGCAGTCATAAGATCGAATCCACACGATGGAGTGAGCTCCCATTGCTTTGTCCCAGCTCCTCGCCAACCTAGCAGTTCGAAAGCATGTAAATGTGAGTAGATAAATAGGTACCATCTCGGTGGGAAGGTAAAACGGCGTTCCCTAGTCATGCTGGCCATGTGACAACGGAAAACTGTCTTCGGACAAGCGCTGTATGGCTTGAAAACTGGGATGAGCACCACCCCCTAGAGTCAGACACGACTGGACTGAAAATGTCAAGGGGAACCTTTACCTTTACCTTTTTAGTCAGAGTTCTCTTGATGCCCTCTTAATGTACATGATACAGGAAAGTTTTTGATCTCATCACTCATGCCTCTGCCAAGGCAAAAAGGTAGTATTAATTTAGAATGAAGACACCATGGAGAAAGACGGGTAAAGTTGGTTTCCAAAGCACTTTAGGGAAATTATCCCCTGACATTAGATCTTCAAACAGAAGTTTGTTTCAAAAATAGATACTGTACAACAACCTACAATTTAGCCACCTCAACTTTATTGGTTGACTAAGTAGATGGCGAGAGCACAAGTGGCAGAAAGCTCCTATAAAATCTAACTGTCCAGACATTGGAATTTGGAGCAGTGTGCTTTGTCTTTAAGAGGTTCTTATCTTCAGTGTGATCAGTTTCATGTCACACTTGAGCAATCCTTCCGTTCACATGAGAGGTGTTCACATGAGAGGTGTTTATTTTCCCACGAGAAGGGTCCGCATAAGTCTTTGGATTGTTAATTTAGTTGCAAGCAGGTTTACATGGTTTGTATGTGTGTAAATTTACCTGGTTTACCCACAAGTTCAGAGGCAGTAGCAACAGCACTGGAGGACAGTGGTGGTGTGAGGGGAAAACATAGGGGTGGAGGTTGGGGACGTGAAAGGCAGGTAACCCTCCTTCCCCCCCTTTTTTTTCCTCCTCAGCTGGGGCTCTGCTTGGGCTCTGCTGCATTGTGGGGGCAGAGCCCTTGGAGTCAATTATTCTCATTCTCCATCTTTTGCCTCTGCGATTGTTCTGCAGTGACTTTCCTCTTTTTTATTTTTATTTGTTTTTGCTAAATAAAATAAGTGGCTTATCAAAAGAGCAATGCATCAATCTAGCATGGTATTAGAATTTTGCTGTTAAGGGGTTTTCTCCATCCTCCTTTCTAATGTCACAACCCGCCTAATACATCACAGGGTTGTCACCTCTGAAAATACCCACAGATCCATTTGAATGCAACTAGTCATCCACACAGGCTACACAACAGGATAATTAGAAGCATGCCAAATTATGCTAAAAAACAAAACCCAGAAGTCCCTAGCCCTGTACCAGAAAGGAGGAGGACAGCTCTTTAAGGAGCAGGGTGGGTTGATCTAAGTAGAAACACATATGGATGCTTTAATTTGGTTCACACCAAACCATACCCAAACAGGTCCTGAGTCAGAGGATGGACAAGAGGCAAAACAAAAGTGTTCTTTTCTTCTGTGCTGTATCTGTTGACATTCTAACAAGAAAATGTATTTCTGGCTATGTAAAGCTTTGTTACCTTGAAGGCTCAGTTAAAGCCAGAATGGTAGGGCATGAATCTGAAATATAAAAGGAAATTCTTTAAAAAAAGAGAGAGAGAATGTCATTTTAGCTGCAGGCCTTTACAACTGAATGCAAGGCACTTTGCAAATAAAATTGCTCCTACCCAATTCTATATTTCTCCTGAAGCTGGATCATTACAGGTCTGTTTTTTGCATAGGTGCAGATGTAGTCATGAAATTCCAGTATCTCCATCTCTCACAAAGAGGAACTTAATTTGCTGTACAACCAGTCAGGCACTCAACCCTCTAATTTAGCTGCAAGACTCTATAATAGGCAAACTGGCTCTCTGAATGCATCTACAAAAGGAACTATATTAATGATGGGTGGCATGATGTATATAGGCAGTGTCTTGCATCTTCCTGTCAAGAGAATAAGCTGGTCATCACAAACACTCTTTTCCAACAACACAAGAGGCGACTCTATACATGGAAATCACCAGATGGGCAATATCGAAATCAGATTGATTATATTCTCTGCAGCCAAAGATGGAGAAGCTCTATACAGTCAGCAAAAACAAGACCTGGAGCTGACTGCGGTTCTGATCATCAGCTTCTCATAGCAAAATTCAAGCTTAGACTGAAGAGATTAGGAAAAACCACTGGGCCACTCAGGTATAATCTAAACCAAATCCCTTATGAATACACAGTGGAAGTAAAGAACAGATTTAAGGAACTAGATTTGGTGGACAGAATGCCTGAAGAACTTTGGATAGAGGCTCGTAACATTGTCCAGGAGGCAGCAACGAAAACCATCCCAAAGAAAAGGAAATGCAAGAAAGCAAAGTGGCTGTCCAACGAGGCCTTTCTGCCAAGGCAATAAGGTAGTATTAATTTAGAATGAAGACACCATGGAGAAAGACGGGTAAAGTTGGTTTCCAAAGCACTTTAGGGAAATTATCCCCTGACATTAGATCTTCAAACAGAAGTTTGTTTCAAAAATAGATACTGTACAACAACCTACAATTTAGCCACCTCAACTTTATTGGTTGACTAAGTAGATGGCGAGAGCACAAGTGGCAGAAAGCTCCTATAAAATCTAACTGTCCAGACATTGGAATTTGGAGCAGTCTGCTTTGTCTTTAAGAGGTTCTTATCTTCAGTGTGATCAGTTTCATCTCACACTTGAGCAATCCTTCTGTTCACATGAGAGGTGTTCACATGAGAGGTGTTTATTTTCCCACGAGAAGGGTCCGCATAAGTCTTTGGATTGTTGATTTAGTTGCAAGCAGGTTTACATGGTTTGTATGTGTGTAAATTTACCTGGTTTACCCACAAGTTCAGAGGCAGTAGCAACAGCACTGGAGGACAGTAGTGGTGTGAGGGGAAAACATAGGGGTGGAGGTTGGGGACGTGAAAGGCAGGTAACCCTCCTTCCCCCCCTTTTTTTTCCTCCTCAGCTGGGGCTCTGCTTGGGCTCTGCTGCATTGTGGGGGCAGAGCCCTTGGAGTCAATTATTCTCATTCTCCATCTTTTGCCTCTGCGATTGTTCTGCAGTGACTTTCCTCTTTTTTATTTTTATTTGTTTTTGCTAAATAAAATAAGTGGCTTATCAAAAGAGCAATGCATCAATCTAGCATGGTATTAGAATTTTGCTGTTAAGGGGTTTTCTCCATCCTCCTTTCTAATGTCACAACCCGCCTAATACATCACAGGGTTGTCACCTCTGAAAATACCCACAGATCCATTTGAGTGCAACTAGTCATCCACACAGGCTACACAACAGGATAATTAGAAGCATGCCAAATTATGCTAAAAAAACAAAACCCAGAAGTCCCTAGCCCTGTACCAGAAAGGAGGAGGACAGCTCTTTAAGGAGCAGGGTGGGTTGATCTAAGTAGAAACACATATGGATGCTTTAATTTGGTTCACACCAAACCATACCCAAACAGGTCCTGAGTCTGAGGATGGACAAGAGGCAAAACAAAAGTGTTCTTCTGTGCTGTATCTGTTGACATTCAAACAAGAAAATGTATTTCTGGCTATGTAAAGCTTTGTTACCTTGAAGGCTCAGTTAAAGCCAGAATGGTAGGGCATGAATCTGAAATATAAAAGGAAATTCTTTAAAAAAAGAGAGAGAGAATGTCATTTTAGCTGCAGGCCTTTACAACTGAATGCAAGGCACGTTGCAAATAAAATTGCTCCTACCCAATTCTATATTTCTCCTGAAGCTGGATCATTACAGGTCTGTTTTTTGCATAGGTGCAGATGTAGTCATGAAATTCCAGTATCTCCATCTCTCACAAAGAGGAACTTAATTTGCTGTACAACCAGTCAGGCACTCAACCCTCTAATTTAGCTGCAAGACTCTATAATAGGCAAACTGGCTCTCTGAATGCATCTACAAAAGGAACTATATTAATGATGGGTGGCATGATGTATATAGGCAGTGTCTTGCGTCTTCCAAATGTCTCACAAACTGAAAATTCCATCTTCTGTCAGCCTGAGGCAGACTGCAGCTCTCTGCAAGCCTTCTGAGAAAGTGCTGCTGGACTGGAACAGTGGTGATCAGAGAAAAATATGTTCTCCCATTTACCCTGAGTTAGCTCAATAATGAATTTTAACCTGTGTTCAGCTGAACCTGGCACAAATCTTTGGGTGGAGGGGCACAGATTGTCTCCATGTTCCTTGTTTCCTCTCTTGTTTCATTGCTTCCAGTTCAAGTATATACCAAGGACTCCCCGGGGTTTTGCTTATGGGAAAGCATAGTCAAGCATGAATTTGTCAATTTCCTGGGTCATTTGTGCATCTCACAGCATAACAAGGGCTTCAACAAGAGTTTTAACCGTATAAGCAGGAAAATCCTCCAGAACCCTCCATTATCCAGTGGAATCCATTAGTCTCTATTAAGAACCAGGGATGTTAGTAAGTCTTCAAGATCAAATTGTAGTGATCACTAAACAAAAAGGCTATATTGTTTAGGTGATCACCGAACAAAGACAGCAATTAACTTTAGAGAGAAGTCAATGAGGAGTCCACACGAAGATGTCCACCAGCGGAGCCCCAGGACGATGCCCGAGAACTCCCTTTTATTAACCTTAATAAGCTTACAGATTGTTGACGGAATTCAGATAGACCTTTTATTAACCTTAACAAGCTTACAGATTGTTGATAGAATTCAGATAGGGTACTGGTTATCTAGTGGTCTCTTAGGATTGGCCAGAGAAAGCCTTTGAAGCTATGCTCTGACTCTAATGGAAAAAGGAAGAATGGGCAGTCGCCTCCTCCTCAGGAGCTGCTGCCTCACGCTAGGAGAGTGTGCTCTCACTACAATAGCAACGCAGCTACCTTAACAAGCTTACAGATTGTTGATAGAATTCAGATAGGGTACTGGTTATCTAGTGGTCTCTTAGGATTGGCCAGAGAAAGCCTTTGAAGCTATGCTCTGACTCTAATGGAAAAAGGAAGAATGGGCAGTCGCCTCCTCCTCAGGAGCTGCTGCCTCACGCTAGGAGAGTGTGCTCTCACTACAATAGCAACGCAGCTGGCAACCTTGAAGAGAAGCATTCCCACACCAAGTCGAGTGTGAGTTTTCAGGACCAAGTTCCAAATCCAAGAGTGATTTTTGGGGCTTGAGTCCTGAGTCTGAAGTCTGCGTCTTTAGAGTTTTCGGCCCCACCTCCCAGGCTCGGGACTTGGACTGCGCATGCACCACTCGGCTGATAGGCTGGCACATGCACAGAGAATAGGCAAGTCGGAATACCTGCCCTCAGAATACGGCGGGCCAGATTGTCACAATGAAAGGCCCTCAGACTCCCTCCATGCTGGACTGTTCTCCCATTTCAGGGGGCCTGCCTGTGCCCACGGAGTCAGTAGGTCCTTGGCTCCTAGAAGGGAAGCTGGGCCTGCTTGCTTTGAAGATGGTGGCAGCAGTGGCAGGTAGACCAATGTCAGCGGTAGGGGAGGGCTCATAGGGATTTGACAACGCAACTCACACAAATGGGTCTGAGTCATAAGTTGAGTTGTGGGTCCCCCAGAAACCCCCAAGTCGAATACGAGTCAAGTCACTGATGCAACTTGAGCTAGATTTAAGAGGCCCCATCCCTGTTAAGTAGATAATTGTGACTGCTCATGTACCTTTGCAGAAGGGACAAGTCCTCAAGAGTCTTAAATGTCTATAGGAAGTAATCCAAGCATGATAAGGGGTTAGATGTTAATATCCATCCCATTTTCAGCTCCCTCTCATCTTGTCCAGTCAAAAGACCAGATCTAGCATGTATCTTGCTATATATGTTGGATCAGTGGCATGTTGGGACACTTGTATCATTTTCTGAGTCCCCAAGAGGTGTTTTTTCTCTTATCCACTGGTGTTTGTACAATCTAACACTTCAGTGGAACAACCAGCTGCCACATGCTGTCATTACCTAAAGGATGCCACAATGTGTTCACATTCTTTGGGGAGGCTCCTTCTTTGTCCACCACCAAGATCTGATGATTTGGTATTGAGGATGAGATTGCCTAGAATAATGATCTGGAGAATTCTCAAAACCAGATTGGCTGGGTAATATGTCAACTTACCAGTGTACCCAAAAGAAGATACAAACATTGAGGGTTGGCACTTAATGCCTAGCAAATGACAAAGGGTTTCTATAGCAGGTCCATCTCCACTCAAACTTGGATAATACCAGCCTTGCTCCCTTCTCATTCACAACTAAAACATGATGAACCAAACTGCTACTTGTTAAGGTAATGAGGGTTTCAACTGATATTTTCAGCAAGGATATATAAGAATTGTATCTTCTTGTTAGCTCTGATACAACAGAAGATAAAAAGAGAATGTGAATAGCAAATAAACAGAATTTCACAAAGCTCTTATATTTACTGTTTAGGATATATCCTTGGAGATTCTCTCATCATTTGAAACGTAGGGGAAATAAGACATCTCTTGAACAGAAGTGCTGCATGTGCATTCAAGAACTCAAACTCATTCTTTCTTCTTTCTAGCAATCCAGACAAATATAATCAGCCAAAAAATTATTTCACAAAATGAAATATTCAAGCTAGAAGCTCAAGGAGACCAAATGTCCATTTTCCCCAGTGCAGTGGTTGACAGGACAACTAAAGGTACACTTTCTTTATAGTTTGATTCCCCTCTCCCAAAATAAAATGTTATTACATATTCTCAATAAAATATGAGATCCAAGGCTGCCTTCCCCAGAACAGACTGAATTAATTCCTACTGAAGACAGGAACACTTCTCCTATGCCTGCATGTTCAACAGGTGCTGTAGCCTTACTCTGTACTTTTTAAGTTGTCACCTATTACATTTTGTTGAATGTATTTTTTCCTTTTTGTTTTTCCCTGATAAAGTATGTGTTAACTCATGGTACAGTATTTTTGCTCTGCATCTGGTGTTACAGTGTAAACTGTTTTAAATTGTTGTCAGTTATTTTAAATATTTAAAATCTCTTAACATTGTTTAGTGTTTTGAATTGCCTGCTACCCAGCCTGACATCTCTTGGATAGAGCAAGAGGTAACTATTTTAATTAATTAATTGTTAAAAATCCTGATTTGGGATGTCTCATCTATCCCCATTCTACTCCACAGTCCTTTGTAAAACAGTAACTTTGAGAGTGTGATTTAATATTTGGAACTACTCCCCCATTTCTTTTTCTCATGCTATACAATATATCTTTTACTCTTGGCAAATGCCAGCTTTCTGTTAATTTTACATGTGGCATTTATGGAACTATTTAAGATATATGGGAACTTCTCACAGCTCTTCTGATTCTTGGCTGTTGGTGCATTAGTTTGAGGCAGAACATTTTATAGCAGTAACCCAGAAGGAGCATCTATGTTCCAGGTAATGTGGTAGAGCAAAGGTCATCTTGAGCATAAGTGGCACCCATTAGATCATAAATGGCACCTGAACCAATCCTGGAACTAAGGGAAACTCATGTTGTGCATAGGATCCCATAGTGGTGAATCTGTACTTCCCAAATTAGCTGATCAATGCTCAGCCATTGCAGTTGTCTACATACCCTTGTCCCTTGCCTTTGGTTAGCAGACCAGCAGTGACCCTTAGAATGTGGATCAGTTTATATGTTATTGTGACATGCATTAAATCCATTCTATCCTATTTGTGCAACAATCTTCACATTTTAGAAAACTATATGAAAATTTGTATTTTGAAAAATTGTTAAAATCTCTGTTCTCTTAAAATGTGCATCTAAAATATTTTGAATGAAGTGGAAGAGGCTGTGGAATAAGATTTGGGAAACCTGGGTTCAAATCCCTGCTCAGCCACAAAGCTCAGTAGATATCTTTGGGTCAGTCACAGTTTCAGCCTCATCTGCCTCAAAGATTTCTTGTGAGGGGAGAGTGGGGGAAAGAGACCTGTGTATGTTCCCTTGAGCTCCCTGGAGGACAGGCAGGATATAAGTGTAACAAACAGCAAAAATTTAGTCCAAGATTGCCTACAGGTGCAAGGAGAGAAGATGATCAATCGTGTAGTTGTAGTTGTAATTGTTGCTATGTGCCATCAAGTCACTTCCGATTTATGGCGATTCTATGAATGAACCATCTCCAAAATGTCCTGTCCTCAACAGCCCTGCTCAGCTCTTCCTTTAGTGAGTCGATGTCTCTCATATTTTGTCTTCTTGCTCAGCTTTTGTAAATTCAAGACTGTAGCTTCCTTTAGTCAGTCGATGCCTCTCAAATTTTGTCTTCCACTTTTCCTGCTGCCTTCAACTTTTCCTAGCATTATTGTTTTTCCAGTGAATCCTGCCTTCTCATGACATGCACAAAGTGGGACAGCCCCAGTTTCAACATTTTTGCCTCCAGAAAAAGTTCAAGCTTGATTTGACCTAGGACCCGTTCTTTCATCTTTCTGGCAATCCAGGATAACTGCAAAGCTGTCCTTCAGCATCCCCATTTCAAATATAAAGTGATCACTTCGCAAGTTGTTGGAATGTTGTAGACATAATATATCTTGACTTCAGCAAAGTGTTTGACAAAGTATCTCAAGACATTCTTAGTTGAGGGCTGTTTAGCACAAGTGTGAGGTAGATACACGGTTATAGGGTTGTGCTCAGAGAGTGCTTATCAATGGCTCCTTCTTAAACTGGGAGGAGGTTACAAGTGGGGTACCTCAAGGTTCAACCCTCCGCCTGGTGCTCTTCAACATTTTTATTAATGACTTGGATAAGGGAATGCAGGGAAAACTTAACAAATTTGTAGATGACACAAAATTGGATAGAGCAGCTAAAACCTTGGAAGACAGGAACAAATTTCAAAAAGATCATAACAAGCTTGAGCAATGGGCTGAAAACAACAGAACGAAATTTAACAGGAATAAGTGCAAAGTTACACACCTAGGAGGAAAAACCAAAGGCACAGTTAAAAGATGGCTCAGTTAAACTATGAGCAGGAAGGATTTTAGAATTGTTGTAGATCACAAACTGAATATGAGCCGATAGTGCAATGCGGCTGCGAAAAAGGCCAGTGCTATTTTAGGCTTCATTAACAGAAATATAGCCTCCAAATCCTGAGATGTTCTAGTCTCCCTCAGCACCGGTTAGGTCTCACCTAGAGTATTGTGTCCAGTTCTGGACACAACACTTCAAGAAAGATGAAGACAAATTGGAAGAAGTTCAGAGGAGGGTAACAAGGATGGTCAGGGGGCTGGAAACCAAGCCCTATGAAGAAAATCTGAAAGAACTGGGCATGTTTAGCCTTTGGAAAAGAAGACTGAGGGGAAGATATGATAGCACTTTTCAAGTACTTGAAAAGCTGTCATACAGAGGAGGGGCAGGATCTATTCTTGATCATCCCAGAGTGAAGGAAATGTAATAATGGGCTAAATTTAGAGGAAGCCATATTTCAGTTGACTATTAGGAAAAACGTCCTGTTATGGAACCAAATACTTTGGGTAGTGGTGATGATTGAACCAAGTTATACAAACTTTTTAATTATTTCAATTTTTTAATTGTCAACATTAAAGCCGTGTTGTTCTTCAATGGTCATGAGTTTTGTCTTAATGTTCAACTGCAGTCCTTCTTTGCTACTTTCTTCTTTCATTTTAATCAGAAGTTATTCCATTTCATTGCTGTTTTTCTGCCAGTTATGTGGCATCATCTGTGTATCTTAAATTATTGATTTTTCTCCCACCAATTTTCACTTCTTCTTCTGAATCTAGTCTAACTTTCTATATGATATATTATGCATGTAGGTTGAATGATAGGGAAATAAAGTGCACCCTTGTTTGACATCTTTGCCTATAGGAAACCATTCTGTCTCTCCATATTCTGTCCTAACAGTAGCTTCGTGGGATCCTGTTATTGATCATTTATTTATTTCTTTAACTTATATGCCTCCCCCACACTACCCAAAGGTCTCTGGGTGGCTTACAACATACTTTTATGTAAATACTTTTACTGTATTTAAACACAGTAAAAAGATAAAACAATTAAAATTAAATTAAAAATACAGGGCTCTGTATTAAGGTGTACTTTCCTAGGCCACTCACTGATCTTCTTCTTATCTCTTTCAGGACCTGTTGGTGTGGCTTTTATATCATTTAGTGGGCTGGAATCACTTCAGGGAGGGAGACTTTTGCAGGAATGGATAAACAATGAAACAGTAGAAAGCATCCATGTGAATTCCAGGGTGGTAAGCGCTTCCACCAGCAGCTTGATAAGGAATGTATCCAGTCCTGTCAACCTCACTTTTCAACATCTTAAGGTGTGTAAACGAATTCTATAGAGATTATTTAGGAAATATGTTTTTCATATACATTTTGTGAGTATATATTTAGATGTGACAGAGAATCCAAATGTGAAGGAAAATTAAAAACTTCATTAATGTTCTCAGTAGAATTTCCTGTTTTGATCTGAACGTTGCCTTCTGCCCATCAGAAGCCATAGCAGATGGAGGCTAATGGGAAGTGTAGTTATATACAGACACTGTTTATTTCACTCATCTTACATTAATTTTGAATTAATTTCTCATAACTTCACAAAGTAATCCTTATTAGAGATAAACAGACAAAACAGAAACACTAGAACTTTACATTCAATTTCCTTCTTGAATCCTCCTCTCATACAGGATAAAGTTCCCCAGCAAAAATTTGTCTGTGTCCACTGGAACTCTTCAAGCAAGGAACAGCCCTGGTCAACTGAGGGCTGCCAGGAGCTCGGTTCTAATAAAACTCACTCACAGTTTAGTTTTCGGTACTTGCCCAACTTTGCCTTGCTGATGGCCACCACTCCTAAACAGGTATATAAAGTATGTTAGATAATGTATCTGATCCCTCTTGCAGGAAATGGTAAATCACTTACTTCACAACTTTGTCCTGCAATATCCATGCAGTTATAACAGATTGCTGTGCTTTTATTATGATTATGATTATGATTATGATTATGATTATGATTATGATTATGATTATGATTATGATTATGATTATGATTATGATTATGATTATGATTATGATTATGATTATGATTATGATTATGATTATGATTATGATTATGATTATGATTATGATTATGATAATAAATAAATAAATAAATAAATAAATAAATAAATAAATAAATAAATAAATAAATAAATAAATAAATAAATAAATAAATAAATAAATAAATAAATAGATGTAGAGTAGCTAAAGATGTGTTCTTTATATGCAAATCAACTCTGCTAAATAGTAGGTGACACAATCAAAAGGCCTTTTTTGGTTCTGAAAATTGCTGTCCTATGTTACAGGGAGATTCAATCCTCTTTGTGATTTCCAACATCGGATTGAGCATCTCACTGATATGCCTGTTCCTGTCTATCGTCACATTTCTCCTCTGCCGCTCCATCCAGAACCACAGCACATTCATCCACCTACAGCTGTGCCTCTGCCTCTTCTTTGCTGACCTCCTGTTTATAATAGGGATAGACAAAACATACAGCAAGGTATTTAAATAATAAGGTGTATGCTACTTTGCCCATGAGAGAGTTCAGGTCCAATTATGTTTCCTAAATTCAATTTTCTTTAGGATTAGACTTGAGGTACAACTAGAAAGGCTGTTGTCCTTCTGTTTGTGCTGTGCTATTCACTGTCCATTTTGATATACTGATATACTGTATATTTTGCCAACTGCATGATGTCTTTTCCTGTCAGTATCTGGAACATTCAGTATGGTTTTCGTTTTCATTTTGGTAAGGCTTCCATATGCATTTTTTTAGCCTCCTTCTTTGGTGTTGCATGACTGCATATATCAGTCTGTAGAGAGGCGTGGGTGGGTGTGCCTTGAGTACATCAACTGCAACATATACAGTGGGGTGGGCTTTATTCCCTTTCTCCTGCCACTGGCTTATACCCAAAGTGTGACAACCCTTGTGTTTCTAAATTTTAAGTATGTTTCTCCTAGTTTAGAAGTATGTCAGCTCTTCCAGCCTGTTGCATGTAATCATCTCCTGGCAAGTGGTGCAGCTCTAGCCTCAGAATTTTTCTGGCCTGTGTGTTGTTGTTTTTTCCCTAAAACAAACAAACAAACAAACAAACAAAACAAAACAAACCAGGCAAACTGAATAAAAGTTAGTCAGAAAGGGGAAGTGTGAAGGCTCCTGCTTTTCTTTCTCCCCCCACCCTCCCTATTACAGCATTCTCAAGACATGTGTGTGTGGGGGGGGTTTGATGCAAACAAATAAGAGAGGAACAAAATATTAAAAGGGGAATGAAGATGGTTGCTGGGCTTCAATGCTGCTCCACTCACAGCTGAAGAATGGGTGGAAACAAGCTATAAAGGAGTGAAAGGGGCAGGGAAAAGGGCGGTGATACTGCCAGAGGAGAAGGGGAGCAGGTGAAGCAGAGGAGAAATGTTCCTATCTTCAGCCCTTCTTGTGGAGAATTCCCACGCTGCTTCCTGGAGTAAATAAACATTCCCATTGAACCATGTCAGTGAATATAACAGGTACAAACTATACAGGGATTGTGCATTAACCTAGGACAAATCTACCTGTCTGGTCATGTCTTTGGTCCTTAACTATCATCATACGAGCCCTATTCAGCCATTAAAAGCATGGAGAATACTTGTGTGAAAATGGGAAAGTTCTAGTCCTGAACTTCTAGCCTGTCATCCCTTTCATCCTCCTACACACGGAAGGTAATGAGTCTGAAGAGGAGCAGCCTTTGTTGTCTATTGGGATGTCCCACATGAGGCAGGATAATCATGACAGTCATGATTCTAACTCATATGGGAAGATTTCACAAATAGAAGAGCTATTCCTCTTCAGACGCATCACTCTTCATTCGTGAGAAAGTGAAGATGCTGAAGATGGTGGAAGGCAGGGTTTCAATGCCTCCCTCTCTGTGTATATATGTGATACATTTTTTTTTTGCTACAGATTTTGTCTGGAAGTTCAGGTTTTTTTTCTTTTCCTTTTTCCCTTTCTTTCCTTTTCTCTCTTTTTTCCCTTTCACCCTTTTAAATGGGAACAATAGACAACAAGTTAAAGTATCAACAGACCTTGAGGAGAAAAAAAAAGACAAAAATATTGTGGCACCTTGAAAACTAACTGGTACATATTTTAATATGAGATTTTTGTGGGCAAGTCCACTTCCTCAGACATGGGAGTCTTCCTGTATCTGAGGAAACCAACTTTTCCACAAAAGCTCACATTAAAACATAGCAGTTCGTCTTTGAGGTGACACAATGTTTTTGTTTTATTTTTATCTTTCTTTTGGTTTTGCCTCATAAAACAGACTTTGAGCTTTCCAGAGGAATCAGAGCAGAAAAAACTTTAGATTTAGAAACTATGTAAACTGTACTGTAACTGCAAGTAAGTCAGACGCAGTTGCTTCTGCTCTTTCAGTACTTTGGTTAGAAATTTGAACTGTTCCACGGCACTGCTTTCTGGGAGAGAATATAGCTGCCAATCACAGACTATTTCTGGTTCTTATTTAAAGCCAGCCATGCAAAAACGAGGCAGAGAATCACATATTCACAAAAGAATTACTTTTATTTTTCTGATACAGATCCTGTGCTCCATTATTGCTGGAATGCTACATTATCTCTTTCTCGCCTGTTTTGTGTGGATGTTCTTGGAAGGTGTGAACCTCTACCTCACCATCAGGAATCTGAAAGTTGCACATTACAATGGTGCCAGCAAGTGTACAAAGACATCCATGTACCTTTGTGGCTATGGGGTGCCTGCTGTGATAGTAGCTATTTCTGCAGGAATTGTTCCTGAGGGCTATGGGACTCATATACAGTAAGTACCGGTTTCAGTAAAGGTTTTAAGAAAGAGAGGGAGGGAGAGAACCCCAAACCCTTCAAAGCCTATTGTTTAAACAATCTGGAGCAGAGTTTGGAAATGTTTCTTTTTTATAGCACAGAATGATATGAGAAGCCTAAAATTCAGTCTGCCAGTCCCAAGCTTTCACGTGCTTAAAAAGGACAGCTCATTAGATAAGCCACTGTCCAACTCTATGGAGTTCTATCAAGGACAAGGAGAGGCCAGAAATATTTTTCTGCTCCAGGCCTAGAATTTGGCCTTTTACCAAGGCATGAATATCATGGTTCCTTCCCAAAATACATCCATGCTGTGAGATTCTCTTCATCTTTCACTTCAATCCATCCACATTCTGAATTGAGATATGGAAAAATAATCACAGGTCCATGTTAGTGTATATCAATTCATGTGATATACACAGGAAAAACAGGTATGTGCTTCTAGTGTTTGTAGTTCTTCTTGAAGATGTTAATGGTATTTCTTCCTCCTTAGTTGCTGGCTTAATCATGAAGCAGGTTTTGTCTGGAGCTTCATGGGACCTGTTTGTGCCATAATTGTGGTGAGTGAAGTTGTCCTACATTTTATACAAACAGGAGGGTGCAAAGGTTTTATACTTCTTTTCACACACCGTACCCTGGAGTATATATGAATCTTACTAAAATTGTTGGATTACAGTTTTTATACTTGTCTTCTTTCAGATGATGAGTCTTTTCCAATTACTGTGTTAGAGCATTAGAACAACCATTGTAAGAAAGGAAAAAGCAGCCACTTTCTCTCCACAGGAGAAATTCTCAAGCTCCAGCTCCTCCTAGGATCACATTACATGTTGAGAGATATGCAATAACTCATCACAAAACGAAAGAAACCAAGGCTAGTTTGCAACATGAAGAGTGAGGCAACCTTATACTAGGATAAACAGGGATCTTCTACCTTTTAATAGAGCACCACTTCTAATTAGCATGTTAACTATATTATCTAGTTTGAGCTGCTGTGACAAAGGTGAGTGAAATGTAGCACTGCATCTGGATGTGGCCCCAATATGTTTTTTGAAGTAAAAATCCTTCAACAGATCCTCCATTCGCTAGCAAAAAAAGAGAAAATTGCTGCTCCTGGAAGCCAATAATCTCCAGGGTGCCTTGCCCTATTTAACAACAAATAACATATTTTTGAAAACCAGAAGTGGACTTCTAGCTGGTTTTCTTGGCTTTTAAATACGTATTTGGCTGTTTTGATGGTCTCTGTGACTCTTGGGTATCCCTGAGGCAGAAGACTGGTTCACAGACTCATCAACATTGCCCAGTCCTGTATTATAGGATCAAACTAGACAATACAGTAAGCATATTATTAGGAATTGTTTAGGGATTGGACATCAGAGAGATAAAAACATATTACATTTGCAAGTCTGGTTCCTCAGGCATGCAGATATGAAGGAATGGCATGCCTGGAGGGAAAACTTTGTAACAGTCAGAGATATACATTTCCTGTACATCTAGCTCAGTACTGTCAACTCTGACTGGCAGCATTTCTCCAAATTTTCAGACAGGTTTCATTCTTAAGCCTGCTTGGAGATCCCTGGTGGTCTCCCTTCCAAGCATTAACAAGCACTGACCTTGCTTAGCTTCTGAAGGCAGATGAAATGGATGTGCTCAAGTTGAATCAAGCTAATGACTAAGGAATCTGAGTCCTCAATTCTCACTGGAACAATGTTTTTACTCTTTCCTCAAATTATGTTTTTTTTTTCCTTATCAGGTCAACTCAGTATTATTCTGCCTAATTCTGAAAAATCTGCATACGAAACTTGCATCTCTAAATTCAGAGGTAACAACCATCAGAAATATCAGGTAAAACCAACAATGAAATGGGGTGTGCAAAAATCTGGGTGCCCATTGGTGATTTAACAATGGGGCTTAGTTGGCTGAGACCAATGTGGATGACACTTTAAACCTTCTTCCAATGCTACGACTTAGCTCCAGAAGATATTTGCTGCTGCCTTGCTTTGAACCCCCTATTTAGACAACCGAGTGATAGTGCTAAAGGCTACAACCCTAATTATCACAGAAATGGCTTTGATGTTTCACACTTAATATATATGGACAATATTATTTGCAAGCTCCCTAAATTGAATAGTCTCTTAAACATTGCATAGTCTTACAGACTATGCACTTTGGTGTTCATAAATGTGCTATTATCCATATGAAAAGAGGAAGATTCAAAGAGGGAGTAACTGTGAGCTTATTAATGGATAGTTTATTCCATGCTTTAAGGAGCAGAAAATCTACAAGTATCTAGGTATCCACAAAAGCCTCAGTATAAACCACAGGTAATTGAAGTCATCATTCAGGAACAAATACCTTGAATGAGTGGAGATGGTGCCCAGAACATAATGCAAAAGAAAATAACTGCTGCTATTAACAGCTTGGTAACTCCAATGTTAATATATTCTTTTGGACTTGTGGACTATATGTACTGTGATGTTGAGGATTTAATTAGAAGGACCAGAGTCCTCCTGTAAGAATACTTTTGCTACCATCCAAAGGTGTATACTGAGTGCCTTTATTTGCCACAGAGCATGGGTGGGTGTGGGCTTGTTGACCTTGAGTATCTCTATATGGGGCAAATAGTCAAACTTCAAAATTGCTTCCATTGGAACACAGTTCCACGTCATCAGATGATAAAGTATTATAAAGTATGACAACTTGCAAGTGAGAGCCAACCTACATTACTGAAAGCTTCCATTGGAACACAGTTCCACGTCATCATCAACTTGCAAGTGAGAGACAACCTACATTACTGAAAATCCAACAGGACATGGATGCATGGCTTGAGAAATCATTACATGGATAGCACCCTAGTTGCCTCCTGATGATAATGTTTATAAGCAACAATTAAACCTCCCTTTGCCAGTGTCAAAAGAGTCTATCTGAACCATTCCCCACTAATGCGTGTATCTTTCTTGTATCCTTTCTTTTCTTAAAAAAAACCTTCTGATCTCTTTCCATGAAACATGGGCAACAGCATATAATTTCGAGGACATTCCTTGCAAAGAATAGTCTCATACTGGGCCAGATGTAATCTCCCCAGCATTTCTCTTTCCATGCCATTATGTTTCTTTGTTGTAGGTCACTGCTATTTAAGGCCATAGCCCATGTATTCATCCTGGGTGTGACTTGGTTCATAGGCCTCTTCCAGTTTGGATCACAGGCTAAGGTTATGGCATACCTGTTCACCATCACCAACAGTTTGCAGGGAATCTTCATCTTCCTGGTGCACTGCTTGCTCAACCAAAAGGTAATATATGGAATGGGAGAGGGCAAAACAAAATATTATTATAATGGGGGTTTCTGTTGTGTGTGTTCTGTGCTGTCAAGTCAGAACCAAATATAATGAACCCAACAGAGTTTTCAAGATAAATGAGATATTTAAATAGTGATTTTACCAGTCCCCCCAGCCCAATGAATTTCCATGACCAAGCAAGGATTTGAGCCTAGATCTCTTACGTCCTACACCATGCTGTATGCCCAATGTTAAATGTTACAAAGTAAAATCTAGAGAAGTATACATTTTCAAAGATGGCTTCCCATGTTTTTAGGGATCTGTGATTGAGAAATTCCATGCACTCTCCTCCCTCTAATTTTGCTATGCTCTTGCCAACACATCCTGATCATATTTTAATTGTTTTATCTTTTTATTATATTTTTATCGTATTTTAATTGTTATAAGCCACCCAAAGACCTTTGGGTAGAGTGGGCAACTAGATAGATAGATAGATAGATAGATAGATAGATAGATAGATAGATAGATAGATAGATAGATAGATA